TGTGTGTTGTGTGTTGTGTGTGTTGTGTATTGTGTGTGTTGTGTGTGTGGTGTGTGTTGTGTGTGTGTGTTGTGTGGTGTGTGTGTGTGTGTTGTGTGTGTTGTGTGTGTGTTGTGTGTTGTGTGTGTGTTGTGTGTGTTGTGTGTTGTGTGTGTGAGAGTGCGCGCGTGTGCGAGTGTGTGTGTGTGTGTGCCTTCGCACGTGCGTGTCTGAATGTGTGTGCGCGTGTGTGCGTGTGTGCGTGTGCGTGTGCGTGCGTGCGTGTGTGTGTGTGTGTGTGCGTCAACTTGCGTGCGTGTGTGTGCGTGTGTGTGTGTGTGTGTCTGAATGTGTGTGTGTGCGCGTGTGCGCGAGTGCGTGCGAATGGAGAGAGAGAGAGATAGAAAGAGTGTGTGTATGTGTGTATGTGCGTACGTATGTAGGTACGTACGTGCGTAGTACGTATTTATAGATGTGCGTATGTATGTATGTATGTATGTGTGCATGCATGTATGTATGTATTTATGTATGTATTTATGTATGTATGTTTATGTGCGTGTGCGTGCGTGCGCGCGTGCGTGCGTGCGCGCGCGCGTGCGTGCGTGCGTGCGTGCGCGCGTGCGTGCGTGCTTTGGTGCTTTGATGCTTTGGTGCATTGTCAGGACCGGGTGCCTTCGCCGCGCAGCCCCCGCCGCGGGCTCCCCGCGACAAGTCGATGGGGAGCAGGCTCGGGAGGGCCCCATCCACCTCCGCCGAGCCGCCGTGCCAAGGACCGCGTCCTTCAGCACCCCAGGGTGGCGGATCCAGGGCCCGCTCGGGACTGCACCCCACCCCAGGCTCCTAAGCACGCCCGCGCCGAGGGGGGCCAAAATTCGAGCTTGCTCCGCCGAGCCCAGGCCCCGCCAACGGCGAATGCGGGCCCAGGCATCCTAAGGGGATGGGCACCCCTCAGGCCCATCAGCCACGGCAGACCATCGCGCAAAGGGGGCCTCATCTCTACACGCTGGGGCCCTCAGACGTGGAACCCGCCCTCCATGCCGAGCCTCGGCCAATAACGACCCCTCGACCAACCCAGGGAGGCCATCCACGCAGCTGGCGCTCTTGCTGCATCTCGGTGAAGCCATCCACGCAGCTGCCACTCTCGCTGCACTCGCTCACGAGGCTATCCACGCAACTGGCACTTTCGCTGCCTTCAATCATCGGGCCATCCACGCAGCTGGCCATACGCTGCACTCGCCATGAACCGCACCACCCCGTCTCAGGGGGGTAGGCCACGACGCTCTCGCTGCACAGCATCGTCGGGGCCAGGCTGCACACCATTGCCTCCAGCCTGCCGCCTGCTGCTGTCTACGCCCGTGGGGGAGCCCACGACCTCGTCCCTTGGCACGTCCGCGCAGGGCAAGGCGGCCCACTGCGACGCGTCGCTCTGGTCCTCGTCGCCCTTCGCGTCGTCGTCGTCGTCGTCGTCGTCGTCTTCGGTGTCCTCGAGCTCCGCCGCCAGGCAGT